TCTTTGCCTCTGTCAGTCTGTCTGTCTGTCTCTGGTGAGTACACACACCCTATGGCAAAAAAGTCAAAAAAAAAATTGAATAAGTAAATCTTATTTAGAGTATATCACATTACTTTATGTCTAGAAAATGTTATTGATCATTAAAATGTTAGCTGCTATTTATTGACCATCTTATATGTACCTGGGAGGCCAACTCAAATCTGGAAGGGATATACCCACCTACCAAACAATAAAATCCTAGATACATACAATGGACTTTCAGAAGGTACTCATTGGCCTCATAGTAATAAGAGAAATCCCTTCTAAAGCCAGATGAGGAACAGTGAGCAAAAGTTAAGGCTGCCCTAGAGAATATCCATTATGATGGGGCAAAATAGAGAGGAGGCTGAGACTCTCATCTTAGTCCAGTCTTCAAAACAGATTAGAATGGGGGACCAGCAGTTAGCAATGTTGCTGAACTCCCATGTAGTCGACCGCGGTTCGAGTCCCGGACCCAGTGGCTTAAACTCACACTGGGCACGTGTGCGTGCGTGCCCAAGATCCCGAGAAGAGAATGGAGGAGAAGGGACTGTGACATGGCCTTCCCCCCTGGGGGGTAATTTCTCGCTTTCTATCTCTGTCTATCTCTGTCTCTCTGGTGAGTGAACACGATTAGAATGGGACCAGCAGGTGACATGGTGGTTAGGGCGCTGGATACTCCCACATAGCCAATCACGGTTTGAGTCCCTGACCTGGTGGCTTGCTTTCTCATTTTCTCTCTCTTTCTCTGTGTCTTGCTCTGATCAAATTAAAATGAATGAATAAATGAATAAATAAAATTAAATAAATAATTCTTTAATAAAGAATGGGACCAGCAGATGGTGTAATGGTTATGTTGCTGGACTCCCACATAGTTGACTACAGTTCAAGTCCTGGAAACAGCAGCTTAAAATTCACACCAGGCATGTGTGCCCAAAATTCTGAGAGAAGAAGGGAGGATAAGCATTGCAGTGTGGCTATTTCCCCTGGGGGAAAGAGGGTGACTTCTTGCTTTCTGCCTCTCTGATGAGGCCACTTGCCCTATAGCAAAAATCCCTTAAAAAAAAAAAATAGAGGGACCAGCAGTTAGCATAATGGTTATATCGCTGAACTCCCATGTAGTCAACCGCGGTTCAAGTCCCAGACCCGGTGGCTTAAACTCACACCAGGCGCATGTACATGTGTGCCCAAGATCCCAAGAAGGGAATGGAGGAGAAGGGATTGCGGCGTTGCCATCCCCTCTGGGGGGTGGGGGGGTGATTTCTAGATTTCTAGCTCTCTGTTTCTCTCTGTCTTTCTGGCGAGCACATGTGCCCAATAAGAAAAAACCTCTCCAAAAAAAGAAAAAAAAATAGAGATTAGAATGATTCCAGGTCAGTAGTACCTCCTGATATCCAGATAAATGCAACCTCTAGTTTCCAACAGGCTGAATGCCAAACCTTTCTGGAGGGAAGCATTTCTTACTTTAAGCCTACAGGATAGTCAATGATGAAGCACTGCTATTATGAGCTCACAATCACAGATCATCAAAAATGCAAGGAAAAAAATCACCACTAGTAAGAGCAGAAATGGAAGATCTTCAGATATTAGAATATCAGCCACACAATACAAAAACAATGATGTTATATAATAGATGGAGGGCCAACTAGTGGCATGGTATTTAAGGCGATGGATCCCACATTGCCAACCATGCACTTTGCATCCTGGATCTGGCAGCTTGAAAAGCATGCTAGGTGTGTGTACATGTATGCCCAAAATCCCCAAAGAAGAATGGAGGAGAAGGGATTGTGTGTGGTCATTTCTTCTGGAGGGTGATTCCTCACTTTCTCTCTTTCTGGCAAGTCCACACACCCTGTAGGAAACTAAAAGAAAAATAAATAATACATGGGATCACAAAAGCAGGTATACAACACAAAAAATAAATAAACAAAATTGTGAAGGCACCAAATAGAACTTCTAAGAGTGAAAAATAGGGGCCAGCAAGTGGCAAAGTAGTTAAGGTGCTGGATTCTCACATGGCCAACTAGTTTGAGTCCTGAACCTGGTGGCTTCAAACTCATGTTGGGTGCATATGTGTATGCACCCCAAATCCCAAGAGGAGAAGGGACTGCAGTATAGCCATTCCCCCGGAGGTGGGGATGATTTCTCACTTTTTGTCTCTCCAGCAAGTGCACATGCCCTTCAACAAAAATCTCTCTCTAAAAAATGAATGAAAAACATAATTGTTGAAATACAAAGTAAATAGATACTCAGTAATGAAATGCTCCATTGGCCAACCATGGTGGAGCAACAGTAGTATAGTGCTCCATGATGCTAGAGCCATACAGGAGCATCTCAGTTCATATCCTGAGATCTGCATGTGCTAGAAGTGCATGCACACCTACGATTTTGGCCGGTTGAGGCTGGGGGCAGATCACAGCATGAAGACCCTGTTGTGGGTTCTCCTCTCTCTCGCTCTCTCTCAGAAGAAATAAATGTATAAACTTTATAAAAAAAGAAAAAAGGAGTAATCAAGCCATTAAAAGATGTGGAGGAACCTTAATTGTACAATATATTACTAAATAAAAGAAACTAATTTGAAAAGGCTATATGACATTCTGGAAAAAGCAAAATTAGGGCTGAAAGGAGACTGTGTGAGTGAGAGAGAGAGGTGAATAGGCAGAGCACTATGGTTTTTGTTTTTAATTTGGTATAGGGGCATGCACTTACCAAAGAGAGACAAAAAGAGGCAGAGAGGGAAAGTGAGAAAGCACTTCCCAGGGGTGATGACCACACTGCAATCCCTTCTCCTCTATTCTCCTCTTGGGATTTTGGGCATGCATACACATGCATACGGTGTGTTTTTCAAGCCACCAGGTCCATGCAATTGGCCATGTGGGATCCAGTTGCCTTAACCACCACACCACCTAGCTGGCCCAAGCACAGGGTATTCTTTACAGCAATGAAACTATCCTATATGACGTTGTAATGGTACATATGTGTTGTTATGGTCTAAATTATGCACACAACCAAAATTTGTATGTTGAGGTCCTAACACACAGTACTTCAGAATGTGCCTGTATTTGAAGATAAGGTCTTTAGAGAGGTAATTAAAATGAGGTCATTAGTGTAGTACTTTAATCCTAATAAGAAAAGATTAGGACAGAGACATACACAGAGAAAAGACCATGTGGAGACACAGAGAAGATGGCCCTAGGAGATGAAACCAACCCTGCCAACACCTTGATCTTGGCCTTCTCTCTAAAACTGTGAGAAAATAAATTTCTATTGTTTAAGCCACCCACTCTGTGTTATTTGTTGTGACAGCCCTAGCAAGTGAATATATATATCATTATACTTTGGTCAAAACACATAAAATGAATATCAAGAATGAACCTTGGGGGAC